AAAAACGTGCTGAGAACGCTAAGCCCATGGTGCATTAAACCATTTGTCCACAAATTTCATATTCAAGCTTTTAAAAGATTTCTATTTTACGGGGATGCATTTCCCTATTTAGCGCCATGGACGCTGGGGGCCAGTGACCGCCACAGAGGGCCAAGAGTCTCCCAGGTCTTCACCCCGGGGATCCCGAGGGAGAGAGTAGAATATAGGAATAAAACCCTCCGGTCTAGACTCACTTCTCGACTTCGTGACTGTGGGACAGTCACCTTCCTTCTCCAAGCCCCATTTCTTTCCTCCAGAAAATAGCAAGGCCAGTCCTTCCAGGTGGATCTGCCAAGAAAGCAGAAAGGGGTTCGCTCCGCGCTCCGAATGCTTTTCCTACGGCGCCCCCTGGCGGCGGAATGGAGCGGCGCGTCTTGGGGCGGGGCTAAAATGCAAATAAGGTGTAAGCCACGCCCTCCACACCCAGTTTCTCTAAAAGGTGTCGGTGAAGGGGGACGCAGCTTCCCTCTCTGGACCTCAGTGGGCAATTCTGGGAAATGGCCCTTTCTGAGAAATGGGCGTGTTGGACCTTGTGAGATAGCAGCTCTTAAACTCTAATCCCAGGTGGCTGATTTTAAACCTCCTTCTTGAACCTACCGCGGGGCTCGCAGCCCGTCAGCAAGGTTGCTAACCATCCCAGCCAACTGCCGCCCAGTCTCCGACCGGTCCGCGGGGGCTGGAGGGGTTTGACCCAAGGCCAAGATGAGTGAGATCATCCTCCATGGGGCTCACTTGAAGGCTCAACTTTCCAGATTGAATGCACACACCATAAACTGGGGAGTCGCCCCCACACAAGGGGTGGGGCCGGGCCAGGGTATCTGGGTGCCCACAACCCCCAACAAATAAGGATGAACCTAAAACAGCTCGGTTAATGTCCTTTGGCCAGATTAGGAAATTGTCCCTTGTGCGTTTCTTGTATGCTTCCACCTCCTCCTCCAGGCTGTGAGCCCCAGAAGAAAAAGCTTGTCTTGGTCACCATGAGCCTCCCAAGCTGGGAACAAGGTGGTTGTACCATCACTATTCGTCAAATGAACAAATGCAGGTGTATTTTACATCTGTGTATCTTAAGTCCTGGAAAAGAACAGGGTGCTCATCTGGATGAGTTGCTGAACCTCAGCTACCCCACCTATAAAACAAGGAAAAGTGTGTTGGTTGAACAGCCGGGTGAATGAACGAATGAATCAGAAGTTGTAACCTATGCAAGATGAGGAGGCCCAGAGAGGTTAAGGGACTAGCCCAAAGCCACACAGCAAAAAAAGAATGCCACCTGGGGATGAGGAGTCACCCCTAGGCTCCCCCAAAACCATTTTACCTATTAAGGACTAAGGTGAGGACTCGGGGCACACAAAAAAATTATTTTTCAACTAATTTTTAATAATTTATTCATTTACTCTAATTTGTTATACATGACAGCAGAATGCATTCAATTTCAAGTAAATTTGAAATTTGAAAAAAAAAATTGGCTTCATCAGTTGGAAAAATAACTGGAAATACAAAGCCAGTGAAATTGCTGGTGCATCCGGCAAGTAGCAGAGAGCAGTGGGTGGGAGGTGAGGTCCTGGGTTCAAATCCGGCTCTGCTGGGAAGTCTCAGTACCTCTCTGGGCTTCCGTTTCCTCCTCTGGAGAGCAAGGCAATGTTCAGGGCTATTGCAAGGTCTGGACGTGGGTCAGGAAATAGCCACTGCACCGCAGGAGCTGGGTGCTGTGGCGGAACAGGGTATAAGAGTTGCAAGACATATAGCTGAGGAGGGTTCACTGCCAGGCTGCCTAGAGAACTCCTTCAACTCAACAACAAAAAGTTAGCCGCCCTTAAAAAGGGCCAAGGACTTGAATAGACATTTCTCCAACGAAGATACTCAACAAGGATGTGAAGAGCTTGACTCAGGACTCATTAGGGAAATGCAGATCAAAGCCATAATGTGGTACCACTGCCCATCCCCCGGGATGGCTATTATCAATTTCAAAAAGAAGGAAATAGCAAGTATTGGTGTGTGCAGGAAAGAGAGGAAAATCTCTCCGCATTGCTGGGGGGAGGGGTGGAAAACAGTTGGGTGAGTCCACCAAAGGTTAAAATGGAGTTATCATCAACCCCACAATTCCACTCCAGGGGTTCCCGAATACTTGTAGATGCACATTCATAGCAGCAGATTCACATTTTCCAAAAGGTGGAGACCACCCAAGATGAAAAAGCAAAAGTACACAATGGAGTATTACTCAGCCATCAAAAGGAATGAAGCACTGACACCCTCTACAATGTGGATGAACCTCGAAAAAGATGTTGACTGACAGAAGCCAGACACAAAAGGCCACGTAGTGTGTGATCCCATTGATATGGAATGTCCAGAACAGGAGAATCCACGGAGACAGAAAGTAGATTACAGAGTGCCAGGGCCTGGAAGAAAGGAATGGGGAGCAAGAGCTAATGGGACAGGGGTCTCTTTGGGGTGATTAAATTATTTACAGATGAGGCAGAATGAATGGACAATATTGTGAAGGTAATAACAACTGCTCAATAAAATG